TCACTAATATGCCATTATGTAAAAATGTGAGTATGTAACAGATTGTGATTCTGCTATCTGTATTTGGGGTAGAAATGGGAGTTCAAAACCCAATAGAGTCAAATGTATGAAAGATGATTTATCAAGAGCTCTGTAATGTTTGGAACAATTAATAAAAAAAAAAAAGAAGTGATTAGGTCATGACTGCCCCACCCTTATGAATGGATTAATGCTGTTGTCATGGATGTGACTTGGTTATAAAAGAGAGCTCTGCCCCCAACACTCTCACAGGATCCTTTGCCATTGGTGCCCTCTGCCGTGGCACAGCACAGTAAGAAGGCCCTCAATAGATAGATGGAGGCAACTTGGTGGAGGCTAGGGTCTCCAGAACTATGAGAAATAAATTTATAAGCCGCGTAGTTTATGGTGTTTTGTTACAGCAGCCAAATAGCCTGAGGGGTTGCCAGACAGCAAGCCTGGTTAGAGTTTTTGGTTCTTTAAAGGCCCAAGCCATCTTTCAAACATTCAAGTCCTTCGGAGGAAAGTCATGTCCTACATTTCTTTGTGTTTCCTCATCTGTAAAATGTGGATATAAATTGTGTCTACTACACAGTTGGAAAAATTAATGAAGCAATGCTTATAAAGCACAGCACCTGGGTAGCCTGAATCTTAAGAACATGTAAGTCCACAGTGATTTAGCTGAGACCTATGGGCCAGATGTGCTTTAGAATCAGAGTAATTTTTGGATTTTAGAAAGGCAAAGCAGAGTGTTTAAGGTAAATTACTTGTTTAAGGTGTATCTAGCCGGCTGTGGGAAAGCCTTCATAACTGAATACATTAATATTTTTGCTTATTCATGTTCAGTAGAATAAATCGAGACTGTTCAGGTCAAATTGTGCTAACAAATTTGAGTTCCAGTTTTTTGTTTTCAGAGCTTTGTGGGATTCAAAAGCTCATCAGGGATTGTGACCTGTGTTCTTTCTACTGTGTGTGAGTRTTTCATTTAACATTTTTGAGCTCTCTGGGGTCCAGGTGTGGGTGGATTTATATGTCAGGGCACAGTGCACCCCAATACCCTGGGATGCTGGAAGGCTGTGGGAGTGGAGGAGGGGATGCAGGAGCGGGGCTGAGACTGCTTCTCAGCGGGTGGGATAGCCTTTGCCACCCTCCAGCAGCCGCTCCACAGCAGATAGCAGGTACCTCAGGAAGGAGGCTGAAATCTTTGCGCAGAATCTCATCATAGGAGCGGTGGAAGAATTCCAAGAGGCTGACCGCTGTGAAGTGGAAGGCGTAACTCGTGGCCAGCTGAGGAAGGAGTTTCTGCTGCTGTGTCTGGTAGTCCAGAATTTTTGCCTCTGGGTCACTGGGGGGAAAAGAAGCCAAAGATTTGGATGATACCTACATGCCATGTCCACCTCCCTCAACACCACATCCCCAACACCATGGAAGCCTTAAAAACGGACAGTTGTTCATATTCGTTGCAAAACTAACACCAGACTATCACTAATCTTCAAAAGTCTCATCTAACATGAACATTCACATATTTCCCTGTAGATATATTGACACTCTTGCTTGTAGGGACTGCCTCTTGTGGAGTAAGGGTCACACAATTCTTGCATGCACACCGACCATCTCATCCTAAAATGTGAAAAGTTCTGAACTCTGACATATCTGATCCCAGGAGTTGGGTGAAGGATTGTGGCCCTGCACTGCTGATGATTTGAACCTGTGATCTTTCACTGCCCATGTGCACTTGCTGTGTGCTAGGAAATGCATTGAACCTAAACAACAGCTCTTTGGATGTGAACCTGGGCCCACTGAAACCCAAGGAGTGGCCTGGGGCTGCCTTGTCCATTGCTATGTCCTCAGTGCACAGGACACAATGACTGTGTATTGAAAGGGGGTAGCTGTCCCAAAGCTGAGAGAAACCTGAGGCCTCTCAGGGGAGTAGCTCCTCACCCAACAAGAAGTTCTTATCGTTGGGACATCTCTACAACTCAGGTACATGGGCTGTAGGCAGGACAAGCAGTGTGCTGTCTTCTAGTGCAGATACCCTCAGCCTGGGATTCTGGTGCCCAGGCCACCGAGGGTGCTGTGGGTTTGCCAGAAGACCCTGGGTCAAGGCCCACCATGCTTTCCTGCATCTTACCCACAACACCATCCCAAAACATGACTCCTGTCCACCTGGCATACAATCCTCAGTCCATTTTAAGTCAGACTATCCTGGAGCCCATAGCATAAAAAAACACCAGATCCAAAGGCTGAGAGTCCTCAAATTCCAGTCCTGGAGATTTCACTCTTTTTATGTTTTTTTTTTTTTTTTTTTTTTTTTGAGATGAGGTCTCACTATGTTGCCAGGCTGGTCTCAAGTAACCCTCTAGGCACCCACCAATATGCCTGGCTAGTGATCTCTTTTTTTTTTTTTTTTTGAGGGCTAGCTCTAAAAATTGAACCAAGCAGTGCTTAACCACTGCACCACATCCCCAGCCATTTTTATATTTTATTTAGAGACAGGATCTCAYTAAGGATGGCTTTGAACTTGTAATCCTCCTGCCTCAGCTCCTGAGCTGCTGGGATTACAGGCAAGCACCACTGTGCCTAGCTGTGATCTTATTCTTGATAGGTAGAAAAGAGACCTAGAGAGGGTGAAGGATTTGCCCAGGGTCAGTCAGCAGAGCTGGGAGGAACATTGTTTCTTGAGTACCATGGATTTGGTTTTGCTGTAACCAACTCTACTCCCTATTCCTCTTCTCACTCAATTTTGCCACATCCTGGGCATGTGTGCCTCCATTTGGGACAAATTTATCTTAAAAAAAATTATTTGCTGTTTACCTAAAATTCAAATGTGTGTCCTATATCTCGAGACAGAGTGTGTGTCTGGGTGCACGCATGTAGGTGCGAGCAAATGCACATGTACCTGCACACAGGTTAAAGCAGTATGGAGTAGACTTTGGCATTCTGTGCCACGGGGTATTGGGAATAGTAGCCAGACACAACCAGGCATAATGAAAGGTATTCAGACCTAGACAAACCACAGTCAGATGCTGACAGTCACAGCCAGACAGAACACGTTCATCCACACAGTCTGAAAAGACAGTTGGGCTTTGCCAGAGAGAACAGCCAGCTACGGTGAGATGCAACCTGGTAACTGGCCRACCCAGACTCACTAGCCAGTCACAGGTGTGTAGGACACAATGGGATCTGGACAGACACAGACTGACATCAGATGCTGATAGATAGAAACTRGGCCAGAGAGATCCCGTCAACATGGCCAGACTTGTATGTGTGTATGAGAGAGGGGGAGAGAAAGAGAGAGAGAGAGAGAGGGAGGTCTGCTCCAGCACCCCAGCTCTGGCAGAGAGATACTGCCGGGGAGCAGGCACTGTGGGACTGAGTGTCAGCCCTGTCTACTGCAGTCAGTCTCCGGGCTCCCTCCCCTTGCCTGGGCCGGAGCCGGGATTGGCGGCGGACGACTGAGTAGCGCACAGCGATGACACAAGCCTTCTGCAGTAAGGGTAGGATGGAAGTCAACAGCAAGCGCACTCGCGTCACCACCATGCCAAGATAGTTGCTCTGTGCCGTCCCAAACTTGATGTAGGTGCCATCTGGCAAGACCTGCGTGAAACAAAGATAGACATTGGGCCATAATGAAGGCAGGCCAGGCAGCTGACTCTCACAATCATGGGCCTCCACCCTGCTTGGGTACCATGGCACTCTTGCCCATCTGGAGACGACCGCTGGTGTGGCCACAACAATCAGTAAGATACAGAAATGGGGACAGGGGTTGTGGCTCAGGGTATTGCGCTCACCTTGCGTGTGCAAGGCCCTGGGTTCGATCCTCAGCACCCCATAAAAATAAATAAATAAAACAAAGGCATCGTATCCAACTACAACTAAAAAATAAATATTAAAAAAAAAAAGATGCAGAAATGTAGCCGGGCACAGTGATGCACACATGTAATCTCACCAGCCTGGGAGGCTGAGGCAGGAGGATTGCAAGTTCAAAGCCAGCCTCAGCAAAAGCAAGGTGCTAAACAACTCAGTGAGATTCTGTCTCCAAGTAAAATACAAAAAAGGGCTGGGGATGAGGCTCAGCGGTCGAGTGCCCCTGAGTTCAATCCCTGGTAGCCCTTCCCCCACAACAAAAAATACAGAATGTTTCCCTGCTTGTTGCTAACTAGCCACCTCCCCAGGTGCCCTGTTTACATTCCCTCTGTGGGGACACCCCAGGCTTTCCTTTGATCCACAACTAACAGGGCACAGCCTGGCAAAATGAGAACCTCCAGGTCTCTGCCAGCACTCGGGTTAGCGTCTGTTCAGTGGCTGCTTGTGTCCAGGCCTCACTGTGGGAAAAGGTTAGCACATGACTTTCAGCCCCCTTTCTTCTTTCCCTGGGGTTGCTTGGCCATCCAAGGTGGAGAAGTCTGAGGCTCAGCGAGGCAAAGCAACTTGCTCAAGATCACACCGTCTCTAAGCTGGGGCTTTCCTCCAGTCGGTGGGACCGAGTCCTTCTCCCTAAAACTGCTCAGGCCAGAGTCTCTCTGGGGAATTGTGRCCTAAGCAGTTTTAGGGAGAAGGACCCAGACCCAGTGTCAGCCTGTGCAAGATGCAGGTCCCCTGCCCAGGCAGTAATAGCTTCCCTGGCCTCCAACCTGTGCAAAGCGACTCAGCATGTTCTCCCTGGGGACCCGCACGTGGTCTAGAAGCAGGAAGCCATTGTCTACATTTTCCAAGTCCATCTTGGGCCCAATATCCCCAACAGTGATTCCTAGAGGGGGATGGAGAGGAGAAGGACTGTCATTTGAATGACACATTTGCTGTGCCAGGTACCACATACCCATTCCAGCTCACAGCAGCCTGTGACACTGGGTTATAGCTGAGGTCAGACAGATGCTGACTCTTGCTCAGGGTTACCCAGCCAGTCAATACCAGGACGTTCAATAGAACCCCTCCTGGACCTGGGACAGCAGTCCCAACTTCTCCCATAGATTCCTTGGGCCCTGAGGACAAGGGAAACTTGGTGGGACCTTCTCCTGGAAGGGGTCCCTGAGGGAACAGCATGGGCTTACCTGGCAGTGGGGTGTGGTCCTGGAGGCTCCGGATGGGCACGATAAAAGCGTGCATTCCCTGCCTGGCTCCTGAGCAGATCAGCTGGGCCAAGACCAGGGCATGGGTGGCCGACCGGCCCACTGAGGGCAGAAAGATAAGAGGCACATTGTGGGGGAGACCTGTGTATTGCTGTCCCCCAGCTTAGGCTCCTGGGGTTGAGGTTGCTCAAGGACATCTCTGAGGCCTCCAAAAGTTATTGATGATAGAGGAGATTGTCCCCAGAGAGCCAAACAAAACTAGCAGTGACTTGACAAAGGAACTGAAAAGAGTGAGCTCTTGAAAGTTCTGCTGTCCCCCCAAAACAAAAGCAAAAGCAAAAAACTATTAATAAATCACTCTGTTATCAACCTCATAATAATGAATACAGATATTTATCAAAATCCAGGTGTCATTTGACCYTATACTGACGTTTTCTAGTTCTTACAGGGCAGGTATCATGAGTCTCATTTTTCAAGATAAGGAAAAGGAGACTCGGAGAGCAGGGTGACATGCCGGAGGTCACTGGCCTGGTGGGGGGCAGAGCTGGGATTGGAACCCTGGTCTGCTTGATTTTTTTTTTTTTTTTTTAAAGGATAAAGGATGGAGTTCCTTTTCTTAAAAAAAAAACAAACTAATTGTATCTTTGTTTTTAAATTTATTAATTTATTTATTTTTATTTTATTATTTTTATGTGGTGCTGAGGATTGAACCCAGTGCCTCACAAGTACTCAACCACTGAGCTACAACCCTAACCCTCTTTTTTTTTTTTTTAGTACCGGGGATTGAAGTCAGAGGCACTTAACCCCTGAGCCACATTGCCAGCTTCATTTTGTATTTTATTTAGAGACAGGGTCTCACTGAGTTGCTTAATGCCTCACTTTTGCTGAACTCGTGATCCTCCTGCCTCAGCCTCCCGAGCCACTGGGATTACAGGCGGGCACCACCACACCCAGCGGTCTGCCTGATTTCAAAGGCGTTTTTCTCTCTGTGGTTTTGGTCTTGTCCATTCTCTTACTCTGTCTCTTTTCTTCTGATTTTCTCTCTCACCTCTACTTTTCTGCTTTAGTTGAACTCCAGGCATTTGTTTTATTTATTTTCTACACAAGGCCTGGGTCCCCAAATGCTGCAGATCCGTCTGCAGAGCTGAATTCTCAAACCCAAGGGAGGAGGCCTTGGTGGGCATGGCAGCCACCTGGTGGCCATCTGATTAGAGCTGATGGTGGCACGGGATTTTCTGGGTGTCTGGGGCAGGGGCAGGGAGGTGTTTTTTCTACTCACTGTCGTCACAGGACCTCTGCCCTGGCTGGGGACAAGCTTAATCACTCAGGACAACTGGGACTAGGCCAAGTGTGCACATGTGTCATGTGCATGCACACACACGGGGGTTGGGAGGCAGCGTGTGCGTGTGTGGCCTTGTCTCTTATCCTTGTCAAAGCCCAAGCCCCCCCCCCCAACCTGCCAGCTGTTCACTAATGAAAGTCTTAGCAGTCCCGTTATTTCCAGGCGACCAGCGCAGGAGAGGAAATCAGCCTGAAGCCTCTTGGACAACAAATCCAGTGCTGCTCTGCCCTCTGATGTTGTCCTCCTTGGGCAGGGACAGGGCAAGGGAGGACGGATACTCACTGTCCCCAGGCCACCACTTGGCGGCAGTCATGGTGGGGCTGTGTATCACAAACTCCTGGGTGGCTGCGTCATAGGTGGCTTCAGTCTCCAGGCCTTGAAGATATGACCCTGGCAACCAAGGGGGGGAGTAAGACATTCAGCCAAGGCGGGGTTCTTAACTGGGGAGCAGCTTCCGGGTGGGACTGGACTCTGAGCTACCAGTCAGTATGGAGTAGGGCCAGCTCCCCTCTGTACTTGGCAGGTATTTCTCCCCTTTGATCTCTGGGTTTTGTGGGGATGCACAGAGTGGGGTGCTGATGCTTCTAGAAGGAATGACTTATCCAGCTGGTAGTTCATACAGTACAGTTGTGAAAATTAGAAAAAGCCACCCCTTCCTCAAGACCCTTGACTGCCATCTGCTGGAGAGTTTTCAAATCAGATATGCAATCTATAAGACACAATGGGCCCTCTGGGGTTGTACTGTGCACGACCCCAACACTGTATGCAGCAGCCCTGGCTCACCGTGTCCCAGCTCTGTCTGGGCATACGTTGTGATGATCTGGAAGTTTTCACAGAGTGGTAGCCATTTAGCAATCTGTTCCTCTGAGCCAAGGCTCCTGAGCGCATTCATGAAGACACCATTTAAAGTTAAGGCCACGTCTCCAGAAAGGGCCCTATGGAGGAGAGATGCCATGATTCAGTAGCCTATTAAGACAGGGGTTGTACCCTCAGCTAGGGTGCAAGAGGGAAGGGACATCTGGAATCCTGGTTTCCCAGTAAGTAATGGTTTTGTTGGAGGAAATGGCTCATGGGACTGGGAGGTTTATAAGTGATCCCAGGTAGATTCCTCTCTGGCAGGGCCACACCAGGAGTAAGTACCTGAAAGCATAGGCCAATTCGCAACCATCTGCCAGCCAGCCCAGGCGCTGTGCTATCATCTGTATGTGGTATCTCTTCCGCAGGGCAGTCTCATAATGCTCATTCTGGGTCATGAAATGATTGTTCTTAAGGCTAAACACTGGGTCATTGTGGATGATGCTTTCTGCAAGGGGTGGAGAAAAGAGGGCATAGGCACTTGGGTGAGGTTTCTGGCATCAGATCTTCCCACACACTTGCCTCATGGATCTGCAAAGGAAGTCACTCATTATTTTACAGATGAGAAAACAGAGGCCCAGAGGTGAGAAATGTGATCTGTCCAAGGTTACAAAAGCAAGGCAGTGGCAGAATTAGGACCAGCATTCAGGTGTCCTACTGCCTGGGACCCTTCTGTCACTCAGATGGGCTCGGGGAATACTGGCATGTTAGTAGTGCCTTCATAGTCCAAAGGAATGACTCTGACAATGGTGTTTCAAGGGCAAATTTGGGGGGGCGGGTACAGGGGATTGAATCCAGGTGCACATCCCCAGCTCTTTTTGTATTTTATTTTGAGTCAGGGCCTCGATGAGTTGCTTAGGGCCTTGATAAATTGCTAAGATGGCTTTGAATTTACGATCTTCCTGCCTCAGCCCCTGAGCTGCTGGGATTACAGGTGTGCACCACCAGACCCAGCTGCAAATGTGCTATTTGAAGATGGGACTGTGACTACTCTCCCATCATCTAAGGAAAGCACATAGCCATAAATACAATGCATTAATAAAAAAAGAGAGAAATTCTGATATATAAGAAAGAAAGAGAGAAAAAGAAAGAAAGAAAAAGAAAGAAAGAAAGAAAGAAAGAAAGAAAGAAAGAAAGAAGAAAAGAAAAGAAAAGCAGGGTACTCTGTGTCTCAGCCTCCTCTTACCGACTTTCCTCCGGATTGCAGTGTTCTGGGCACCTCTGTCAAGAATGTTGGTGAGTCGTTCCACGTTGAAGGACGGCACACGCCTCTCACTTTTTATGTCAGGGTGCTCTTGCCTGCTCCACTTGTCCCCCAAGGACACGCGGTGCACCGGGCTACCCATCCTACTCTGCTGTTCAAGGAGAGACACTTCCAGCCCAGCTGCTCTGAAGATCTCTTCAGGGCACGGGGGAGGGGGGTGGTGTCCAGGAACCTGTGTGCACAAGGAATTACCTGAGGCTGTGTGTCAGCAGGCCCCAGGCCCGCTCCCCTCTGAGCTTTGGACAGGATTGCACTACAAAGCTCACGCTGCAGCCTCTATGGCTTGGGTAATGAGCACCATCCTCATAAAGAGCCGGAGACAGTCACTCAAACAAAATGATCTTAGGTTAGGTGAATGACCCCTAGTGACACTGCTGGAGGTGGCCAGGACTACACGGGATCTGACCACAAAGCACATGCATTGTCCATACGGTGCCCCACCCTAGGGACTTACTGTGGGACTCAACCCCATTTCTTGAGCTCTGAAGGGTACTGTGATGCTGAGGGGAGGAACCTTGCCCTCCGCCTGGGAAGTGGCCCCCTGGGACCCCAGCACGTCTCCCATACCCAGGGTGGGCCCTGCCTCCTCCATGCMAAACCCTTGGGCTCTTAGAAACTCTCATTCCTCTACAGTGAGGCAACCACCAGGTACAATCCATCCTACTTCCCACGTCACTTGAACCTAACTGCTCTTTGCTGTCTTCTTGGCTACCACCTAGCCACCATCACTTCTTACCTGGCTTCTGTGTCTCTTTTGTCTGTTTTTATTTTTTGGTAGCTGAGACTAAACCTAGGGGCACTTAAACACTGAGCCACATCCCCAGCCCAATTTAATATTTTATTTAGAGACAGRGTCTCACTGAGTTGCTTAGGGCCTTGCTAAATTGCTGAGGCTGGTTTTGAACTTGCCATCCTCCTGCCTCAGCCTCCCAAGTCCCTGGGATCACCTGCRTGCGCCACCACACCTGGCCCAGGTAAGCTCTTAAGTGAAAGTCACCTTGTGTTTCTCCCTGCTTGGAATGGGCTCCTCGGTGTCCACCATTTTTGGAATGGAGTCACTGCCATGTCCCTCTCCTGCATTAAGCTACTTCCCCATCCTGGGCCTCCTCTCACTTCCTCCTGCCCTTTGCCCCTGTTGGCCTGAGGCTTAGCTCCCTGGTGTTCCTGGWGAGTCCCAGCTTTCAGGACCCCAGCTCTAGGAAGCCCTCCTGCAGGCAGCACCCCYGGGAGAACTGGATCCCCACTAGCAGTTATTGGTACAGGGGACAAGTTCCCGTTTACACACATATCCCGTCCCCTAGCAGGGAGAGGTGTGTTGGGTCCCCAGAGCCTGGCTCACAGGAGGCAGGCTGTAAGCCTTTCCTTCGGWCGACCACACCTTTGGATTCCTCTATCCTTCACCTCAAACCTGGGATGTGCTGCAGTTATTACCATTTTGTAGAGAAGGCAGGGGCTTGGAAAGAAGCCACTTGGTCAGCTCACAGCCACAGGTAGCAAGTGGGATTCTTTTTTTTTTTTAATTTAAGTTTTTTGGTACTGGAGATTGAACCCAGGGGCACTTTACCACTGAGCTACATCTGCAGTCCTATCTATCTATCTATCTATCTATCTATCTATCTATCTATCTATCTATCTATCTATCTTTCTTTCTATCTATCTATCTATCTATCTATCTATCTATTTATTTAGAGACAAGATCTCACTGAGACTGACTTTGAACTTGTGATCCTCCTGCCTCAGCCTCCCAAGTTGCTGGGATTACAGGTATGCATTTCTGCACCTGGCAAAATGCACTATTATTATTTAGCAGGGCTGGGAATGGAACGCAGGGCTTGGCGCACATTCTACCGCTGAGTTACACCCCCAGCCCAGCAAGTGGGATTCTTATGCGAGGCCCCTAGAGCAGGGCTGTGGGTGCTGAGAAGAAGCCCAGAGTCTCCATCAGCTGCCTCTGGGATTCCTGGGAAGCCACTTAGCCCAGCTCCTCTCTCTGCCCCTTGCTCCCTCATTCCAAATTCCCCTGCCTCCTGGCTGTCCCCAACCTCCCAAGAATCTCCCTCCCACAGCCTTTGCCAGGGCTATGCCTGTGACCAGAATACCCTGTCCTCATATATCACCACGGCTCCCTCCATCTCATCTTAATGTCACCTCTCAGGGAGGCCTGCCTGACTACTTTAACATCCCAAGTCCCCTGGCACTTGATCCTGTCCCCCCCCCGCCCTGCTTTGTGTACTTTCTGTTTACATACACGCAAGGTCATTAAACTGCTCTGTTCCCGGTTGTTTTCGTTTATTGCTGTCTGTAGCTGCCCTGCCCCCACTAAAATGCCAACTGTAAGTGGGCAGGGACCTTTGCCAAGCGCCTGCTCTAACAGGGCAGAGCCTGCTGGCAAGAGTGTCTGCTGAATAGTGGTGAAAGAAAGAAGGCGCTGCTCACAGCCACTGGGAGCTGCCCAGGCTCAGTCCTGGGGTGTCATGTCCTCAGTGTCTCCCAGTTCTTCCCTGCCCTGCCCTGGCTCCCTGACTCACCTCTGTCCTGTGCCCACACTTTAGGTCTGGGCTGGCCTCTTCCTGGTGCAGATCTAAGCCTTCCAAAGACAAAGGTGAGTGGCTAAGCCYTTTTCTCCTCCCCCTGAGGGGTTGGGTGCTTAACCGGCTCTCCCACGTGCTCCCATACTTCTGAGTCCCCGCCCCCAAGCCACTGAGTGAGTGTGACATGCATATAYGCTGGGTGCCAGGCACTGGGGCTGCCTGGGTGCTTGTAGCTCCCACACATATCACACATACATGGTRTAACTTCCCATTCTTGTGGTTGTACCTGAGGTGGAGTTTCACTGATTCTGTGTTCATATATGAACATAGGAAAGTTCTGTCCTGTTCAAAGCTGSGGATTGCTTTGAAAGTACTTGTACTTGTGTACCCCAGCTGTGTTTCCAGAGTGACACCCCTGATCTGTCCTGATGGCGTCCTCTAACTTGCCATCAGGAACTCAAGCTGATCACATCACAGGGGCTTAACGGGCTCCCTGCAGGTGATCCCCTTGAGAAAGGCTTGCTCTGTGAGAGGACTGTTTTTTTCCCCTCTCCCCTGTCTGCTGTAGAATTTGGCCTGTTTTATGGTTAGCATTAGTATTCACGTGCCCTCTCCAGGTTTCCTGGATAGAGCTACAGGAGTGGGGTGGGATACTCCRAAGGCACCTCAGTTCAACTCTTAAAACCCCAGAAGGAACTCATAATAAGCGGGGCGGGGGGGGGGCAGTGGGGGGGAGCGGGTAGAAGTTCACTGGATGAGACAAAGGAATGAAGGAAAGGGAGGGGGATGGGAATGGGAAAGACAGTGGAATGAACAGGAAACCTAATGGCTAACACAAACATGTGAAAAGATAAATAAACTACAATATCAATTAGGAAATGCAAATTCAAGTCAGATCCCCACACATCAGCCAAAAGAAAAAAAAAATTAAGCTTTGATAATCCTGAGTATGAGTGAGGAGCAGAAGAGGTATAATTTTCATACACTTCTCATGGAATGTTAAATTGGTACAAGTCCTTGGAGAAGAATGTGGCACTGTCTGGTAAATGCCTTGAACTTCAGCAATTCTGCTTGTGCTTATTTATGGGCCCTAGAACGCAAAACTAAGATAATCTCTAACATAACATAGAAACGCTTAAATATGCTGGATATTGCCAGATTTTCCACCAAAACCAATGTACTGCTATACTACCAAAAACATTTGAGTTTCCCAGTTTCCCCATGACCTTTTATGCCCATCCATAATGGATAGAAAACAAATCCATTTTTATTTCAATCATATTTATTTAAGTTATGAGTGAGGGTATACATCTTTTCAAACTTTTATTAGACATTTGTACTCCTTTATTCTGGAAAGGGCCTATTTATACCCTTTGCCCTATTTTCTATTTTGTTCTTTGTTGAGGTTTGGATATAAGATRTGCCCCCAAAGCTCTTATGTTAATGCACAAATGTTTGGAGGTAAAGTTCTGAGATTGTGAGAGCTGTGACCTAATCGGTCTATCCTAGTGTGAATGGACAGACTGGATGGTAACTGTAGGCAGGTGGGACAAGGTGGATGAGGTGGGTCAAGGGGACGTGCCCTGCAAGGATGCGTCTTCCCTGTAGCCCTTTCCCCTTCCCTTTCTCTGCTTCCTGACCCCACCATCAGGTGAGCAGCTTTCCTTTGCTGGGACCTTCCGCCATGATGTTTGCCTCACCTTGGGCCCAGAGCAATGGACCTGGCCATTTATGGACTGAGACCTGTGAAATCAGGAGCCAAAATAATTTTTTCCTTCTCTAAAATAAATAAATAGATAGATGATAGATAGATAGATAGATAGATAGATAGATAGATAGATAGATCCATCCTGGAAGGTAGCCAGCAGCTCCCGATTTTGCTGGTAAAGAACCAATCTCAGACATGATATTGTCCGCCCCAGTTTGGACAATAGCTAGATTCCTGACAGACCTGGAATTTGAACCAGGTCTCTGAGGAAAAGGATTAATTATTGACCCATTAGTGCAAAAGTGGGAAAGAAAGAGAGTGGGACTCTTGTCCTGGCAGGACATCGGGCATTTGGCACTCTGGGCAGGTTTCTTCCCCTCCTGGGCCTGGGCCTCTCCTGTGTGTGATATGGGGGTGTCTGTGCACTTAGGGGCTCACAGTTCTCCACTATATTCCCAAGGTGGCATCTAGCTTGTGTCTGCTGGAGGAGGCAGGCCCTGTGACCCAGGCTTTGAGGTCACAGATTCTGCCTGTAGGACCGTGCCAGCCCCAATTCCTGTGGGTATACACAGGGTGATGGCTTCAGGTTAGGTAGCCTTGATCCCAGTTCTTGGAGATGAAAGATCTGGCTTCCAGTCTGGACTTTGCCACGGATTTGTACACTCCCTCACCTCGGCAGATTGCTTCATTTGTCTTTCTTATGTGTTCCACGTCTTAGCGAACGCCTTTCTCTTAAATTATTTCTTCATCAGTTTGGGAACCATCCCTGCTCTATAGGATAATTTTGATTTGTTGTACCAGTCTATTGAATTCTCTAGGGTAAAAAAGTTGTAGTTCTTTTTTTTTTTTTATGAAAAATTTTAAATCCATAGAAAAGTGGATAGAAGAATACAAGGAAACTACATGCACCTGTCACCTAGCTTTAATGATGATCCTCTAATGTCTTCTTCTTCTTCTCCCCCCTCCCCCTCTCCTTCCCCTCCCTCTCCCTCCCTCCCTCTCCTCCCTCCTCCCTCTCCTCCTCCTCCTCCTTCTTCTTTTGGTTCTGGGGATTGAACTCAGGGGCACTTGACCACTGAGCCACATCCCAGCCCTTTTTTTGTATTTTATTTAGAGGCACCACCACACCCGGCTTTTAATTCTTAATCTTGAAATAACTCTAGATGTTGAGAAATTTGCCAAAAATATACCCTCACCCATCTTCCTCAAACTTTAACCATGTTATCGTTAAGGGATCAAGAAATTAATACTGATGCAACTAATTGATCTTCAGAATTTTTTTTTGAGGTTTTCAGAGGGATCCCTAAGATCAAACTCAGGTATAGCAATGTGTTGGAAAGAACTCAGGAACTATTATACTTGTGGTTTATTAGTGAAAGGATACAGCCCCGATTCCTGTTGGCAGTGGGTATACACAGGGTGATGGCTTCAGGTTAGGTAGCCTGTAAAAGGTGCTTGGTGGAAGGGTATGGCAGAGGAAAGCAACTCAGGATAGGACAGCCAGGAGTCTTGGTTGTTTATCCTCATGATTATGTGGCTGATTGGGAGCTGTGGCTAGCTATTATCTGTCCACATGTTGCTAGCCGTGGAAAAGATCAAAATTCAAATTTTGAAGTATAGCTTATACTGAATGCATATTGCTTTGTCACAATCCTAAAATTAAAAATTGTAAGTCAAAACTTTATAATTGGGGGACTATTTGTATTGTGTATCCATTAAAAGTTATTATAATTATAATCATTTTTAATAGTTTTGCCTTTAAACCTTCAGACTATAACATAAGTGATTTGCATACCACCATTAACAGAATTAGAACATTGTGAATTTGATTGTTTTCTTATTTTTACCAGTGAGTTTTCTATTTTCATGTTACTAATAAACAGTCTTGTCTTTGAGCTTGAAGTCCTTTTCTCACTTCTCGTAGGGCAGATCTAGTGGTGATGAACTCCTTCAGCTTCAGTTTCTCAGGGAAAGTCCTCCTCCTCCTCCTCCTCCTCCTTCTTTGGTATTGGAGATTGAATACTGGGATGCTTTACAACTGAGCTACATCCCCAGTGTCAGGGTTTTTAGCCCACCCCCCTTCCCTCCTGACCCATGGGAGAGATTGGGGGAGCACTCCCCGACCAGGACAGGCCAAGAAAGGTAAAGGTTGACCCAGCCCTCCCTCCCCGAAGACAATCAAGTGGGCCAGGGAGAACTGTCAAAGCAGGATCTCGTTTAATAAGAAAACATACACAGCTAATATAATGTACAGGAGCCAATCAGGGTAAAGGTCAGCAGGGTGAGGAGAATTTATATCTACACTCATCCTACAGGCAGTCATGGGAGATGTGAGCTGTCCTTGAGGGCAGAAGGGTTCTGAGCCAATTCTTCATCACAACCCATGGCAATGCCTTCTGGCTAATCGCTAGGTGCTCTCTTAGCCACCTATGGCCCCAGGACTGGGAAGCGAGTTAAGTTTCCTCTTTTCTGATGCAACATGCCCCATGTTACATCATTTCCTACACCCCAGTTCTTTTAATTATTTTTAACTTTTGAGACAGGGTCTTGCTAAGTTGTCCAGAGATACCACCATGGCAGAGAACTGACATCATCAGACTGCGGCGGAGGAGATGACTTCATTGAATCCTGCGGCTACAGCATCAAATAAATTTATAGGAGTAAACAGTAACTCAGCAGTCAAACAGAACAAGAAGTAACATGAGCAGCTTCAAAAAGCAAGGAAGAAAAGGAGTACAAACAATGCAGGACAGCCTAAATATTCAGGAGGACCTAGAGTCATCGGAAAAATGTTCATATAAAGAACTCAAGGAACACCTTAGACAGATGGAATGGAACCTTAAAGAGGATACGAGACA